AACATAATTGATAAATGGTAAATGGATTTAAATTTAAAAATTATTATCATTAAAATGATCTAAAATTTTTTAATAATTAATCAAAAATAGAATGTATGACAAATAACCCATCAAACTCATGTACATAATCTACACAGATTGATTAGATATAAGGAAGCTACAAATGAAATTTATTGGATGGAAGGGAAAGCTTATTCTGGGTATTAAAATAAAAATAGCTTGTAAAGTATTAAAAGTTGGAATTTTTACCTCAAGCAGAACCTTTTTAAAGCATTATAGTCTTTGACCATCCTAAAAAATCAATAACGCAAATGATTGGAAAGGTCTTCTATTCTTTGTTGCAATGGTTGAGCAACAAACATTTTGATTTTTTAAAGTGAATAAGATGTAAGAAATGAAGGGATTAGAGTTAGTTTAGGGATGGATATTTGATTAAAAGATGAAGAATAATTTTTTTTAATAAATGTAATTCAAAGAAAGGAATTGGATGTAAAGTATGAGAAAAGGCAAAACATTTTCAAAATCACGGTTAAAAACTTCTTTTTGATGGGTTTTTTTAGATTCTACATTAAGTAGATTCTTCCATTATTTCTTTCAAGAAAAAAAAAACTCTTCAGTTAGTAATAAATTACTAAGAATTAAACCAAGATAGGGAGGAGTGAAAAAACCAAAGAACCAAATAGATTTCTAATATATGTATATATTTAAAAAAAAAAGATTGACATTAATGCATATGAGGAATATAACGGGATAGGAATGAAAAATTAAAAGGTCATATGAGAGAAGCGAGATGACAAGGATAGGGAATGAAAAATTAATGCATCTAATAAAGGAAGAGAGATGAAAGGATAAAAATGAAAAATTAAAAGGTCATATTACGAATATAATGTTGATGACATAGCATGATATGAAAGATGAAAGTATAAGAATGTAAAAAAAGTAGTTGACATGTCAAAGGAAAAAGGTGATATGGCAGTGCCAAATGTCATAATTCTAGGTAACAGGGGAAGAAAATATATGTTTGTTAGATATGTGATTGCATTCTTATTATTAGATTTGTAATATATATTTTCAATATTTTTCATCTTAAATACATTAATTTTTTTAGTAGTTAGTAAAACTAAATGCATGCATGGAAGATGTGTATTGTAATAGTTCCATCATGTACAACAAAATTTATAACCAACTTTTATTTTAAATTATTCTTTAATGTATAAATTTAAGTCAAATATTATAAAAAGGTATTCTTTAATAAGTTAAATAAGACCATAGGTCCATAACAATATATAATACGTATAAATATTTTGTATTTGCATTACAATAATATTTTTTCAATATTTCACATGTCTTATGATGTATATAGAACAATGTAATTATTATCTATAAAATTTCTTAAGAAAATAATTAAGAATAAAATAGGTGAAATTTTTTTATATAAATGGTGGATTCAAACTTTGGTATAGGGTTAAATCGATATCATGTAGATAAGAAGATAATAATTTATGACAAAACAAAAATTAATTAATTAAGTAATTAATTTTTTATTAAAGTAATGCTAAATTTACAAACAAATAAAATTATTGATTTTTTATTATAAATATGCAAAATAATTAAAACCAAAAAATACTCTCCCTAAATTTAAAATCACACAAATTTCTTTTGTCTTTTTCAATTTTCAAATATCTTACTATTAGTTTCTTTTTAAATTCAAAAACTACATATCACTTTAATTCTTTTAATAATATACGCTACATTATTTTTTTCTCAATATTCAATTTTTCTTTAAGATATATATTACTTTTGTGATTTTGTTGTTTATTTTACTTAAAAAATTTCTTATTTTGACATTATTTATTCAATTCTTTTTTGTTTGTCATATATTTCTTAGTTGATATTTTTTAGTATTTTGATCAAAATCATAATTTAGTAAAGGTATGTCAATACTTTTTTATAATTAATTATTGAATATTATATTTTTATATTCTTCTAAAAAACCAATACTATTTTTATATTAAATTCTATTTTACTTTTTGATCCATATATAATATCTTCTATTTTTTCACATTTATTTTCAGCATTTTGATCAACATAATAATAGTAAAGTTTAATTTTCTTATGAAATGTTAATTGAATATATATTTCCTTTTTAATTAAATTTTTTATATTTTAAAATATACCTAAAATACATGTATCACTCTCATAACTTGTGTAATTAAAATTTTACACTGACAGTGCATCAAATATTAACTCTTATGTTTTATATATGTCATAAAATTTTAAAGATTTAAATATAGTTGTAAGAAAGATACAAAATTTACAATGTAATCACATATTTAAATAAGTAAAATAATTTATGCGTCACATAAGTCATAAGTTAGTTTATATATATTAATAAAAAAACTGATCAATCCTTATTGAATTGTAAATTCTTTGCCATAATTTTTAATAAAAAATATGTATTAAAATAAAATATCAAAATTTATTCAAATTATTTCAAATTTTATATATTTAATTTATGTAATAATAAGATCTTTCAATTATTAGTTTTATATTTTTAATTTAATTTTATTATCATATATTATTATATTACAACATACATAGACATCTAAAAAGGTTTGTCATATGCATGCTTATGTCGATAACGTTTTTAGATCACATGTAGGATTTTTTTTTTTTTTGAAAGAGTATAGTTTCTTTTAATTACAAATTGGATAATCTTGAATTTATTCAAATATAAAATTATTCAAGTTATAATTGCAAATCAAATTAATCTAGAGATTTTTTTTAAAAATTAAATATTTGAAATATGGATTTTATTCAAACAAATTTAATTTTTTTACTAGATAATCTTTTTTTATAAATTATCTAATTATGAAAATATGTTAACATGTTTTAAAACTATAAATATTAATTTTATCCAAATCTTTCGAAAGCTCATTATATATATTTTATCTTAATTTGTATCAAACAAAATTTATCTTTTAAAAAATTTACATAAAATATTGAAAATTCAAATAATCTTTTCATATTAAATCTCTAAATAATAAGATTTATATCCATCTCAACTCTAACTATCAATTTTATATTTACTAAATAGACAAGAAATTTGATTTAATTTTTATCGCTTATTATATCCTTTTTTTTTTTTTTAAATATCAATTTAAAAATTATCTATTCAATCCCAAATATCATCCCAGACTTATTATGCAAATTAAAAACTATAAATTATGATGTGTTTGGTACAAAAGATTATAATAGGATATGATAAGATTATATTATAAATAGAATTAGATTGAATAATGTTATTTTATTTTGTGTTTGATGTGTGTAAAGATTAAGACAAGATAATTTAGTTATTGATCAAAATTATCTTACCTTAAAATTTATACATTTTTAATTATTAATATAATTTTTAAGGGTATAAGAGGATATGTAAATTTAATTTCATAGATTAAAAATAATTCTCTTCACTTTGAGAGGATTGAATCATCCTAAATCAAAAGGATGATTAATTATCTTTATAATCATATTCATTTCTTTAGATATAAATCAAATATAATATAAGATAATTATTATACTATCATATCTATCATCTTATATATCAAACATGACCAAAATATTTTATATCATTTCTTTTATTTTTCGATTTGCAGCTTTTTGGAATTATATTACTAATGCAATTTAATTTTTCTATTTGCATCTTTTTTTTCAAGGTATATTTTTTTACTATTGCAAATTTATTCTTATGAAAATTAATATTTTTTAATTTTTTTTCTTTTTTTTTTCCATGCATCTCTTAACGTTTTTTCATATTTTGTATAGTAATTTGAACAATATTACAAAAGTAAAAATATACTTATATTTTTTATTATTTATTTCATCATTTGATAATATATATGTTTTGTTTTTTAAAAAAGATATGTAATTTATTTTTATTTGATATAAATTTTAGGTGTATTAATATTATTGCAAATAAAAATAATGTAAAGTGATGACATGTCATTTTCTTTTTACTTTTTTTAAAAAATTATTTTTATAATAAATTAATCAAATATAAAATTTTATATATTATAAATTTTAAAAATTTAAATATAATTTTTAAAAATATTAATTTATATATATGTACGTAAAATAAATAAAATTATTTTACACATCGAGTCACAATCTAATTTTTATAAAAAGTTTTGTATACATAATTTACTTAAAAGTTGCTCCAACAAAAAAAGTAAAAAACAAAAAAAAAGTTTTTTTCATTTAATATTTTAGAAATAGGAGGCGCGGGGAGTGTAAGAGCTGTGACTAGAATACTAGAATAGCAATGAAAATTCACTTTTTTTTTTTGTCGTTAAGGGGACATAATTTTACATTAAAAGAAAAAAAAATAAAGTTCGATTCTTAATTTTGATTTTTTTTTTTTAAATTATCTTAACCATTACGAAAATTCACGTTTGGAAATCATCCAGCGAGACCATGTTTATTTTTACGCTCATCCTAATTTTAAAGTCATTAAAAAATTTAATCATAAAAACTCAAAGTGGAGTGGAATGCTCTCGACTCGGTATTGGAAGATTATTGACTTGTTCGTTCTTTTCTCAAGAGCAATGAAACGCCGCAAAAATAATCCAAACAATATAAGAAACGTGGCGTAATATGATTGGACCTTCAGAGTCTATTGGCCGTTTACCGTCGCATCACCTGACAGATAATCCCCAAAAGTTTAAAAGAATCTTCTCAATCTACTCCGTGACTCTAATTTTCCCTCGGGAATGTTCTTTTCTCAAACAAAAACTCACGTTCAACGAGACGGATATGCAAAATACAAAAAACAAAAAGAAAAAAATTTTAACATGCGTCACCACTTGTCACCCTACGGATGAACCCACCACTCACAAGTCATAACAATCTAACAGTTCGGTGAGACACGTGGTCACTTACAGGCAACAGCCGGTCTTAGACTGGACTATCCGGTAAAACCCCCCAAAAAGCGAATCTTTTTATTTCTTTAATTCTAAAATATTTAAAAAACAACAATCGTACAGTGCACATCTCCCATGTGATTTTAAAGTTAAAAAATCAGGCTCTGTACCTTTCTTTTTCTCTTTCATATTTGTGTATTTTTTAATTCTTTTCTCTTTCATTCCTTTTCTTTCCTTCTCTTCTATTCTTTCTTTGCTCTCAGAAGTTAGGGATTGTCTTTTGAATGGTTTTCGGTGGGTGAAGATAGAGAAATTCATCTTCAATTAGAGTTCAAATCTGATCTTTTGTTTTGGAGATTATGGAGAGGGATTTCATGGGATTGGGTTCAAAAAATGCTCCGATTACAATCAAAGAAGAGGCCTGTGATGAGCCTAAGGGTTCAGGTATACTTTTCTTTTCTTTTTAATTTATATAATTGATTAAGTTTTTCGTTATTAATTAAAAACATAAGTGAATATGCAATGGAAGTTGATGTTTCTGATCGAAACTTTTAAAAAATTTTCTTGTCTGGATTTTATTTTGTTTTTATAATACTTCTCTTTTCAAGTAATAACGTTGTTTAGAAAAAAAACTGCCTTAGGCTACGTGTATTTAGTTTATATATGTTTATTTCCTTTCAATTTTTTTGAGTGATTAATGACTTTCTTGATTTGCTTAATTTTCTTGGTAACCAAACAAGGGGAAGGGGGTCAGGGAAAGTTTTGTTCCAACAAGAAAATCCACGAGCAAGATGCCCTTTCCGTTTAATTGAAAAAAAAAAAAAGGAAAAAGAAAAGAGCCTCGTGGTACAACGTTTGTAAACTCAAGGTACAATCACTTTACAGCAGTCCTAGGCTAGGATACTTTTAATAAAGTTGACATGGACATTTACTGTTAAAAGTGCGTGATTATTAGGATGTTGAAAATAATGATTATTAAATTTTTTTTATTTAAGCTCTGTTTGATAAATTGAAAACTTTATTTATTTTTTGTGGTAAATTCTAAAGCGCCCTTCTCGTGACCAGTTAATAAGTCAAACGGAGCGGTTGGCGGGGTTTGCTGAGCGGTTGAGCATTATTACAGAGTTTGTTGTAGTAACTCTTAACACATGAAACTTTTGTATGTCAAGGGAACGCTCGTCCTTTTCCCGGAACCCAAAAGATTATAAAAAGAATAGAAAAAGGAAAAACATATGTTGAGCTAGTTTTTGCTTGGCTAAGACTTCTAATTTAGTTGTTGAATAAGTTACTGTGCCATGTTGAGTTGCCGTGTGATTCCCTTTTTCTTAGACAAATTTCTTCTATAACTTTTAAATTTTATTATTATTTTTTAATTTTTAAATGATGTTGTGAATGGTTGTGACTGGCTTTGTACAAGATCATTAGAGATAAAATATTATAGCTGTCGAATAATGTGGTTGCGTGTTAATAAAATGACATGGATGGGTACAATGTAATTAAATAACGATCTTATCAGGGACTTGAATTATAATGCTTCTTTATATTTCTTAAATGTGGCATTTAGAAAGGTAGTGCCTAATGACATATGCTTTGGACATTTTTTAGGGAAATACTCATTAAAGAAAGTGTTTGTTTACAATAGGATGAATAATATATTCCAAAGTTGATGGGGGCATGTGCCATAGATGTTCTGACCATGGTTTTTTTAGTACTTAGAGGTGTGGTTCTCTTTTTCTATTTAGATATAATTAATATACAACATGAATTGGATGCTTCATGATAAGATTTCTGGTGGTTTTGGCTTCATATATCTATCTCATATTTTTAATTTAATTCCATTTTTTTAAATATGTCAATAAATGCTTTCTTTCCCACTTCTAATACTTGTCAGAAACACACTCTATTAGAGTATTTTTTTTAACCTTGTTCTATATAGTTACCAATCAAGAAAATGAACATTATATTTTGCAATATGGTTTAAATATTTTGATCTTCCTGAACCAAAAGATTAATTGATTCCTACAGAGTTCTAAGTTTGGAGGTATTTAGAAAATTATGTACAAGAAGTCTCTAGCACTGTTTTCTTTTTTCTTTTTCTTTTGTTGCTTTTGCTTGCAATTGGGTGATTCTGAATTTCACTCTGAGATGGAAATGAGAATGCGTCCTACCAGGCATGATATTCCAATCCTTTTGGTTCTGCAGTAATGTCAAGAGGTTCAGGGATGCAGTTGTCTTTCTCAAACAAGGTATCTGCCGTTCCTCAGTTCCTGTCTTTCAAGGCTGCTCAAGAAGTTAGGCTGAGGAAGATCGCTCATGATCCTCTAGTCTCATCTGGATTTATGGCAATATCAACTGCTGATTCTAACCAGAAACCATATTCTGGCTTGACCCAGGTATGTTAATTGCCATCACGAACTTCTTGGTTTCTAAATTTTTTTTTTAATATATTTGAGAACTTTATTTCATGTCTGGATTTGTTAATTGCCATCATGAACTTAAACTATGCTCATTTTTTATTTTTTTTTTACCTTCAAATTTCAATATACAGGCATTTTTGACTGGTTGTCTTATAGTTTCATTGCTGGTTTACTGATTTTTCCTCACCTTTTTCCCTCCTCCGATGACTTGCAGAAACAAGGGGGAATCTACTACACAGAGGCAACATATGGTCTACAACAATTTGATGGGCACCAACCCCACCATTCCCAGGAAGTGAGGATATTTCCAGTCTCCAGCCACCCAAATGAAACAATTACAGTTTCTATGAGCACTCCCATTCTCCAGTCCCATCTTGCCTCCACCAGACAGAATATAATTAGTAATACAGTAAACCCACAACCATTTGCAGGAGTCCCAATCATGGCTCCCCCTGTATCTGTTGTTCCTCCATCAAGTTCTGTTATTGGTACCACTGATCTTAGGTATCTTAACTTCTGTCATTTTTCTACATGTCATTTTAGTGAATCTCAATAACACATTATAAACTATCAGCTTAAATTGATAGTTGGAATGATCAAGGTGAAGCTGAATTCATTTTGTAGGAATGCTTCCAAATCTTCTGGAGCACCATCTCAGTTGACTATTTTTTATGCTGGTTCTGTGTGCGTGTATGATGATGTGTCTCCTGAGAAGGTAACATATTGCTTGAGCTTATTTGGTTTATATGCTTGACACCATTAACGTTAGGTGGTACTTAATTCTTTGCCTCCGTATTCAGGCCCAGGCTATTATGTTATTGGCTGGAAATGGTTCTTCTGCAGTTCATAGTAAAACGGTTCCTGTGACTCAACCCCAGACATCTATCCCACGACCTTGTTCTGCTGATGCTCTTGCTGGAAACAATGGTTGTACCGTGGCACCATTTTCAGGCCTTCCAAGTCATCTTTCTGTAAGCTCCCATGTCGTTTTACAGCCAGGTGGAGGATCTAGTGGCACTAATGAAGTAACAGCCACCACACAAATAGGAGCTTCAGCATCTACTAGTAACCAACCAGAGCCTCCCAAATTGGCTAGCTCAGCAGGATCTGCTTGGACAACTCTAATTCCAGCAGGTATTAAACTCGTGTTTTTTTGGGTAGGATTCTCCAGTAACTATTGTATTTTTCTATTAAACTCCTGGTTTCTTGGGTAGGATTCTCCAGTAACTATTGTATTCTTCTCTAAACTCTTTTTATTGTTTTATTTCATATATTATGTTCTCTGCTTTTTTTTTCTGGGAATCTCAAGAAAAACTACTATTGTTTTTTGTAGTAGCTGTGCCTCAGGCTCGTAAAGCATCCTTGACTCGATTTTTAGAGAAGCGTAAAGAAAGGTAGTTGCTTATTTTCTCAATTTGGTGACAATTATTTGAATGTCCATAGAAATACTACTCAGTTCTAATCATGAGTCGCCTTCTATTTTAAATATTAAGGATTGGGAACTCGTAGTTTAATATTGATATTGTCAAGTCACAGTTTAAGATCTGTGTCTTTGAAAACAGTGAAAGTTGGGATGATTCACTTGGATGATACTATTATCCCAACTGAATGATGTGATTCTAAGTTTTATGTTTAACTTATTAAACTGTCTCTGATGGGATGAGATTTGACATGAGTATATTTCTAGTACATGTAGTCTCAATATTTTCTTTTCAGACCTTTTGAATTTTTGATGATGGTAGCTATGTGATAGAAGTTGTAACTAGTCTGTTATGTTCTATAAGAATTAAGATGGAGTCACTTGTTTTCCGGGTGATTTACAATGCTAATCTCTGCTATGATGCTTGCCCTTGGGCACTTGTACTCTGGCTACTGGCAGATTTTTTTTTAACTATGTTCTTCTTTGTCAGTATCAAATGTTATCAAATATATTGGATGCCCTTTGAATTATGTCATGGGACTTATTACGCTGAATTTGTACTGCATTGCAAATCAGAGTTTCTCAGTCTTACATCTTTCTGGTTTACATCCAGGGTAACGAACATTTCGCCATACAGTATCAGCAAGAAATCTCCTGATTCTGGTCCTCTTGCATCTGATGGTATAAGTTTTTCTGTGACTTCCTCTTGATCCAATCCTCTACAAGCCATGAATTAGGTGTCGGGGCGTTTGGAATGAGCAACTGCTATAGATAATGTAAGAGGTCTTTGTCGACATTTGTTTTTGTTCGTAATTATGTAAACTCGATACTTTTGATGTCAAATTTTAGGTTCAGTGTATTAGATATATACGTGTGTGTGTGTGTGTATATGTTTTCAGTTTTCTTTTTCGCAAGTCCTTTCATTTGGATGTGTCTTCTCTTCCGATAACATTTGGAATACCTTAGGAACATCTATTCCAAAAGCATAATTTTGTATTGATCTGTGCTAATAAGTCGTCGCATTTGACATTCAAATGAGATGAGTTTTTGCTAGTACTTTTGTTTTTGGACAAGTTTTTACTAATACGAGTGCTCATTCTTGCGTTTCTTTGTGCAAGAGGTTGCATAATGTCAGTGGTAGAGGTGGTAGTGTCGGGTCGATATAGTTGATTTAAAATTTAGCTTAAAATTTTGCTCGTGAATGTTAAGAGTATGGTTCAACATAGATTCATAATCATGCCAAATCGGCACGTTCGTTAAGACAAAATATGGGCCAACATGACATATGGTCTGTAACCTTTATGGGTTGTCATGCCTAGCATGGTATAATTTATCATAACGAATTCAGTCAAGCTTTTTAAAATTTTGAACTATTGCTTGAGTTCAAAATATATTTTTAATGTATATAAGGAGGTTTATTGAACTTTGAATATGAGAGTTAACTATATTTTATTTTATAAACTTTAACCCTTTTAATGTTATTCAAGTTTATAAGTATATAAGAATAATTTACCAAAAATATCTTAAGTTAATTTTACTGCAACTAGTGAATATCATGTATTTTGCATCTATACTATACTAGTACTAAATTAAAAGAATTCATTAAGGGGACATTTGGTTTATAAAATCTTGGATTTCGAGGGAACGTGTGATTGTCGAAAAAAATGCAATACTTAGAGATTTTTTTTTATTTTCAAGATATCTCGTGATTGGTAACTTTTCATTTCGTTTTTTTAATAATAAATATCTGATGCCTTTAGCAATAAAAAAAAGAAATATTAAACAACTCATGATGGTGAATTTTTTGTCAATTAGGATGGTGAAAAGGGAGAAGAGAAGGATGAGAAAAACATACTTTGGTTTTAGGGAGATCAGTTTTGGCTTAGATCTAGAACTGTGGAGGCTGATTTGGAGAAATCTAAGCTCAAATCAGTGATGAAGAGGTCGAGGAGAAATTACAGCAAAAATTTTGAGACCCAAGAGACACTAGCTGACGGCGATGGCGAGTAACATGAAGTGGTGAGCATAGCAAAATAGCTGCTGAGAACTGGGCTATTACAACGATGGCCTTTGTGCTTGGGAAATTTTTTGAAGAGGATTTCTTTTTTTAAGGAAGAATGGAAACGATGTGAAAAAAGAAAAACATTTGTCTTTTATAGCAAAAGTAAAAAAAAAAAAAAAAAACCCTAGTTGGTCTGAACTATGACCCGTCCTAAACCCACTAAAACCAACCCTAGCTACTGTGGCTCGATTGCTGCCAACCCGACCCAATTGTTGAGCCAACCCAACCCAACCCAGTTCAATTCAAACCAAACTTGGGCTCATTAGATTTGGATCATCTTCCCTTGGTGGATTTGGTTGCAAGACCAAGACTTTGTTAAGTATAATTTCTCTTTTTCAATCTTCATTATCACGTGCATTTTTATAAACATATATATATGTGGCCAAATATAAGAAAAAATGCATATATCAAAATATAAAATAATTTTTATGAAATTAAAAATTATGAATACTTATGTTAATGTTATATTTTTATGTACATAATTTTGCTAATAGAATAATTATTATTGTTTGGGAGATAAAAAATAAGATAGTATTTCTAAGTAAAAAATTGATTTTGAAAACCCTATATATATATTAGAAGGAATTCAAATCATGTTTTGAAGGATTAATTTTCTCAAATTCTACTTAAATATTGGAGAATTAAAGAAAATTTTCCTTTACAAATAAAAATAAATAAAATTTCTTTCATCTTTGATTTTCTTTCAAAGAAGAGATAATGATAAAAGATAGGATTAAATAAGTATAAGATAAATCAAATTGGTTATTTGTTTGTATTTGCATAATTTATTTGTCTTTTATTGCATTATGCCTTCAAAAAAAAAGAAAAGAAAAAAGGTGTGAATTTGTAACTGATGATTTTGAAAATTAGAATGGTTAACATTTCTACGGAAAAATAATCTTTGAAACCCTATATAGATATTGGAGGGCTTCTTAATAATTGCTTTTTATGAAGGAATATTACACTAAATTTTAAAGAATATCATGAGAATTCTAAGTAGAGAAAAACTTTTCATAATTTCTCCTAGATATTAGGGAATGAAATGTTTCAAAACTATGAATTTTTCATTTTATTCCTAAATAAAAAAATTAAAATATGTATAAGATGGATTAAATTGGTTGTTTACATTTTTTAATTTGCATTTGCATCATCTATTTGCTTCATATGATATTTGTTTGCATTTCATCATTATCAAAGAATATAAATTAACAAACGATGATTTTAGAGAATTGTTTTAAATAAAAACTAATATTCATAAGTAAAAATAATTTTTAAGACCCTACCTAAATATTGGCGGGCTTATCAATAATTATTATTTATAAAAAACTATTATGTCCAATTTTAAGGAATTATTATGAAAGTCCCAAATAGAGAAATATTTTTTGAAATTCTGCCTAGATATTGGAAAATTAAAAAAATGTTTCAAAACTAAAGATTTTCATCTTATTTCTAAATAAAAAAAAGATTTTTACAAAAAATAAAATTTGAAGGAATTATTTTTTAAATATTAGAATTAAGACCACTTTTATCAATATTAAAGATAACATGTGATTAATTGATACCATTTTTAAAATTGATATTGTCGGGGATACTAATCATTCCTTACATATAACTGTAATTTCGAATCCAGTTTTTTTTTCGTAGATCAAAATATCTTTTTAATAAATTTTTAATTTGTTTTATTGTTTTATTAAAAAAATAAATTTTAGATGACAAATCATACTTTAAAAAAAGGTTGATAGTGACTCTTCTTTATTTTGAAACTTTTGAAACTTTCATATAGTGGTCACCAAAACCATTACGATAACATTGAATATCAAAAAAATTTTCATGACACATAATGCACCTTGTTGATTAAGATGACCATGTAAAAGGATTTGCATGCTATCCATATTACTAGCATTATCCAAAGTAATGCTAAAATTTTCTTTTCTTAATACTCCATTCATGCAATAAATCATAAATCTTGTTATGCAAAAAAAATATATTATGTTGTGGTGGCACATGTCAAAAATTTAAAATTGTACTACATAACTTCCAATCAACATCAATATAAAATGCAATTAAACAAAGCTATCCTTCAGTAGTACAAGATATTTACATATTAGTAGTCAAATAAATTTTGCTTGAAATTTCTTTCATACTAGATTTAATTTTCTCTTTCTTTTTTTTTTTTTTTCATAGTTTCAAGGAAGCAACTTTACAAGTATTCCTACAAGTGAATTTGAAATAGTTTTTCAAATAAGAATGAAACACTGTAAATTTAAAGAGCAATAACACATTCCATTATTATTTCACGAGCAACCAATGGGGAAAACAATGGCTTACCAAAAAAGCAAGCATCCACTAGGTAATGAAATTTGGCTTTAATAAGTTTGTCTACAAAAACTACAACAAAAATACTTTGATAAATGTTAAAAGTTAAAACTTATAATTTTAATATTTAACAATTTCAAATATAATTATATATATATGAGAAATTATCTAATTCACTTTAGTGAAAAGTTTAAATTTCACAAGTAGAGTTGTTAAGTTGACACATACCTCTTATGGTTTGTTAAAAAAAAACATTAATTAAAAAAATAATGCATATTACAATCTCTTAATTCCATGAACAGGTTCATTTAAGTAAGACAAACATTGATAAGAATCCAATGTCCAAAGACCCAAAAAAAGCTATAAGTAATGTAACTATAAATCTTATGAAGAGTTCGATCTTAACTCATGATAAATGCTGGTGGCATGCTTAACACATGCAAGTCAAACGTGAAGTGGTGTTTCTAGTGACGGATGGGTAAGTAGCGCAAAACCCTACTCATGATGTTATAAAATTATATCAATAATGTATAAGAACAAACTTATAGTAGATATATATATATATATATATATTTGAATTTTAACATTTTAAAATTGTTAAGAATTAATCTTAATTCTCTTAATTAAACTTATCTATAAAATTATATATATAAATCTATTGGTACGTGTTATACCTTTAGATCCTATATTTAAAATTTAGACTTTTAATTCTAATTATTAAAATTCAATTCCTACAAATTTATATACGTAAAGAAACTTGGCTTCAATAAGCTTCTATTTATGAAAACTACGAAAATTAGTCACATCTGCCACGTACATAAGAAAGAAATTCCATTTGGGTGTTTTTTTCCTCGAGTTTAACAATTTCTTTTCAATATCTAATGAAGTAGAAGACCAAAATTCTGTCCAATTTATAAGAGGTGTGAAATAAATTTAGCGGCTTATGGCTCAACACGGTTTGGTATGATGTGGATCATATTTGAGATAATATATATATATATATATATATATATATATAAAAGCTAAACTTAAAATTTTAGACGCATGAGTTTAAATAGTACTGTTCATTAAAGACCAGTGCTAGCAAGTAATTACGAGTTAGCGCAATATAACACATAAGCCCAAATATTATTTTTTAAATTATGATAAAATTATACTTGTTTTTGATATTTTGTCAATAATTTATAAAAAATTATATTAAATAAATATATCAATGAAACATTTAAATCATTGATAGATAAATTTATAATCTTTTCATTTTGATCTAGAGTGTGACTCCGATTATGTTTGGAATAAAATATTTTTATTTTAAAATATAAATTATTTAAAATTTTATTCTAATAAAAAATATATTTATTTAACTCATTTGAGGATAAATTTGATTCTTTTTAATAAAAAATATAATAATTAAAGGATAACATATCTTTATTTTATCAATTATTTTAATTATTTGAAATCAAATGTTATTTAATAGTTTTTATTATATTGTTTAATTATTAAAAAATTATTATGTTCTATTTCTTAAACAATTATTTTATCATTTAATTTATGTAAATTTTTTAATCTCACCCTTTTTACAAATTAATAATTAATAATTTAATTTAAACTCAAAAATAAAAAATAAATAAATAAATAAAATAAAAAATGAGTTAGCAAATATATAAATTTAAGTTATTATTGTTTAGTCCAAAAATGTTAGGCTCAAGACTTACCAAACCAGTAAGACCGAAGAGGATGCTTTTATTATTTTTCAATTTCTTTTGCTATTCATATACCCAAAATTACTTGATTTGACCTTTTCAATATCCTATCTAAACCCTACACATAAATCTCTTTGTTCTCTTAGGCTCCGTTTGTTTTATAAAAAATGACTTCTAAGAAATAATTTCTAAAAGATATTTATATATTTTGAATTGAAAAAGATTTTTTGTTATTTAAATAAGTTAATGAAAAATATTTTTCGTTATTTGATTA